CATAGAGAGAGAGAGAGACATACATTACATAATATTACAATGCGTTACATTACATGATATTTAATTACATGACATGACATGACATGACATGACATGACATGACATGACATGACATGACATGACCTGACATGACGGTACAGTACAGTACAGTACAGTACAGTACAGTACAGTACAGTACAGTACAGTACAGTACAGTACAGTACAGTAAGGTACATACATACACACAGGCATACACACATTCATTCGTTGACAAACATTCCCTGCACAGCTTCGTCCGCTACTACGTCCATCTGAAACCGGATCTGGCGGCAGCGCTGAGAAAAAAACAAGTGCTACTGAGGCTGCGATGCGAGATTTTAGAAACTTGCAGCTGCTTTACTCAAAACCGACATCGTTCAAGATGTGAGCTAGTTTAGGAGGCTTTTGGTCTTCCAGCATTTTGGCACTTCAACTGGCTGCTTAACATTTGCATGCCAGCACACGCATGGGGATCGGGACATCCATGCAATCAGGCCTCACGTGGCTCAGGACCATGCTGTCATACCCTCCAAACTTTGTGGCTAATTTGGAACTCTGGGATGGTGGCATCCTAGTTTGGTTCCTCTCTCCTTCACATCCCTAGTGCTACGTTTTCGGGAAAAGTCTTACTAGTTCTTCAAGCCCTAATGCTCGGACCCTTACAGCAGCCCTAAACCCTAAACCCTAAACCTTCATCAGAGCCACAGCCTCACTCCGTAAACGGGGCAGTCCGGCATAGGTGACCACTAGGAATCAAACCTCCAGCAGGGCAGATCCGGAGTTTAGGGTGTAGGGTATGAGGGTGCTTTAGGGTTTTGGGTTTAGGGTTTCAAGAGTTTAGTGTTTAGAGCTTAAGGGTTTAGAGGGTTTAGGGTTTAAGGGTTTAGGGTTTAAGGGTTTAGGGTTTAAAGGTTTAGGGTTTTCGGGTGCTTAGGGTGTCTAGGGTGCGTAGTGCATAGGGACGATGATCATAATTGTTACAATTTGAAGTATCTCCTTCTGGACGTGCATGTGTGGCTGAACTGCCGTGATACAAGCAAGCAAAAACCAGATATAGTAAACCCTGAACCACCTCAACTTTAAAACCCCCATGTAAACCCTAAACCTTAAATCCTACCCAATCCAACAACACGTAAGTCCTGAGCCAGACCGGGACCCGCCAACCGTTTGTAGTAGTCTCTATCGGTCTAGTTTAGGGTGGGTTTAGCGTTTAGGGGTATACATGTTCAGGATGACAGATTGAGCTTTAATAATTCAGTCGAGGGTGATCCGAAACGACCATAAAAACTCCGTATAGGAGCCGTAGGCTTCTGAGGTGTAGTATATACTCTACTTGGAGGTTCATGGGTAGTTATAAGTGGGGTTATAAGTAGGGTAACTATAGATATAACCCATATTAGGGGAGTTATAACCCTACTTATAATAACTACCCATGAACCTCCAAGTAGTATAGAATTGCAGCAAAAGGCTACGTGTATGGTATAGAATGTGGCAGTATAGTATCGTATAGTATAAGGATAAGTGTACTGGGATAGTGCATTGAGATAAAAAAGGGATTCCATTCCACCAACTGAATCGAGAAGCATTCACGCAAGCTAGCACCTCTGAACTCAACTGCCTCCCAGCTGTTGGGGCCCTCACTAAAGGTCTGTTTAGGGATTAGGGTGTCGGGTGTCGTTCTGGTTGTATTGTACATATATTCACTGGCATCAAGCCATAAATGCCCAAACCCTGCTAGTTGCCGTAATTGTCCGTGTACATATACATCGAAGTACCCATATAGAAATACCGACGATGCCGAAGTTGAGTTAAAAACACATGAACCATCAGCGTTAGAACGCTGATGCCGAGATTCCTAAATCCGAAATGCTTGCGGAATTCCTGAAGGAACCCTTCAAGGCAAGCCCAAACCCCAAAGCCCTGGTCGCCACTAACTCCGAACTTGTCCTTTTTCATCAGTTCCATATTAGCAAGTTATCCTCAGCTTTTGGGGTTTAGGGTTTAAAGCAAAGCATCCTCAGCCCCACAAATCCAAAAACCGCGACTAAAATGCCCTAGAGGCCAGCCCTGCACCCTAAACCCTAAACCCTTAACCCTGCATCGAGCTCTTAACGCATCCCAAGAGAACCGTTGCAGCAGCCGTCGAAGGGACCCTTGCAGGAGCAATTCAAGGAACAGGAAGGGTTTAGTGCTTAGGGGTTTAGAGGTTTAGGGGTTCAGGGGTTTAGGGTTTTAGGGGTTTAGGGTTTAGGGTTTAGGGGTTTAGGGGGTACGTAGTACATGACCCAGGCACCAGGAGTGGTGGCGAGGCTTCGCCGCGGACGGCCGCAGGTTGGGGTCACGCTGTACGCCTCGGCCGTGTGGAATACAGACGTAATCCTTGTGAGGTGTAGGATTTCGGATTTGGCGTTGGGGGTTACCCTAAACGGCTCTAAACCCTAAAGCCTACCCCCTAGGGCTTTCAGGTTTGATATGCAGTTTCATGGGTCAGCGCTTTAGGGGGTCGTGGGGTGACAGCGTTGAGGGTTGAGGCCCCGGCAAGGAAACATGAGGTTTTTTGTGAAGCTTTATAAGGTTTAAGGTTTGGGGTTTAGGGTTTAGAGTTCCGCCACAATCGGTTTAGGGTTTAGGGATCGGGCTATATGCAATTTAGTCCGCACAGCGATGCTCCTTAATGCGTCCAGGGTCTCGGGTTTGGGGAGGTCTAGGGTTATTGGGGGTCCAAATGGACCCTAAACCTTAAACCCTAAACCCAAACCCAAAACCCTGCAGGAACGCAGGGTCACAAAGGACTCCCATTCTCGTATTTGGTCGTTTTGTAAGGAACCGAAGACCACAAAGAAGGAAGAAGGGGTTTATTGGGAGACCTAAACGCGACGGCCTCAGAAAAAAAATGTTGCGCCAGGAAACAAAGGGGTTTAAGGTTTAAGGTTTAAGGTTTAGGGTTTATAAGTCGGCCATTTCGGGCCACATGTTCAGCTTCTTGGCCTGGTCCATGGTGTGTCGGACCCACGTGCCCACGTTGTCACCGTCCACACTGGAGGCCACCGTACAATCCTACCTAGAAATGGGGCGCAAAAACTTGAGCCCAAATGGCCTTCTCGATCGCATCAGTGTAGCCCAAATGGCCTTCTCGATCGCATCAGTGTAGCCCAAATGGCCTTCTCGATCGCATCAGTGTCTGGCTTCATTGGCCCAGGTCCGCCCATCCAAGAAGAGGGTCTGCAGGACCTGCCTGAACTCCTGGACCAGCGCCACATGAGTGTTCGGATCACTAAACCCTAAACCCTGTGCGCTTGGAGCCTGCCGGCGCTAGTGATATAAAAGGGGTTTAGGATTTAGGGTGTAGGGTTTAGGTGACTTGGTATAAGGCTTGCCCTAGGGCTCTGTTACCATGACTTTATGGTTTCAGCTCTGAGTCCCGAAGGAAGTTACTCCTTAAAACATAATCGGGATCTAACCATAACTCAAAGAAGATTCCACAATCAAGGGATATTGGAAAATCTGGATTCTCCAACTTCTTGTTAGTCCTTAAAACATAATCGGGATCTTACCATAACTCAAGGAAGACTCCACAATCAAGGGATATTGGAAGATCTGGATTCTCCAACTTCTTGTCAAAACCCTGTACTCAAACCCTACAACCTCTAAGCCCCATATACTCACTATAGGCCCTAGCCCATAAACCCTGACCCTAAAGGCCCTCAACCCTGAACCGTACACTAAACCCTGATCCACATAGGCCCTAAGACCTCAGGGTTAAGGGTTTAGGGTTTATAGGGACTCAACCCGAAACCCCTATACCTTAAACCCTAAACTTACTTCCCCAACAAACCAAATCAAAGGCTATATACTTTCGGAATACTACTCAGTTAAAAGAACCCAAAAAGTTAAAAGGTTGGGATTGGAGAACTAAATAAACCCCTAAACCCAAAACCCTAAACACCTAAACCCTAAAGCTTAAACCCCAAACCCCTAAACCCTAAACCCGCGGGTTCCTCCAACGGCAAATGCTGAGCTCCCCGGCACGAGCGCACAAAAGCTTCACCGGCCTGGACCGGGCTCGTCTAAGAGCCCAAGGGGTCCTACGGTTGAAAATATAAAACCTGCATTACCCATAATAACAAATATACCATAATTCTCATAGTTTAGGATTTTCGAGGTGTCGAGTTTCTATGCGTTTTGGCGATTCAAGGGTTTAGGGGCTTAGGATGAAGGGGTTTAGGGTGTGGGGGGCGTTGGGTTTAGGAGTTTAGGTTTCAGCATGTTCGGGCTTTAACTGATTTAGCGATTCGGAGAAGAAGTCTTTAGAATTGGGGTCTAGGGTTTGCTGGGTTAGGGTTTAGGGCTTCAGGGTTTACGGCTACTTTAGGGTTTAGGGTCGAGGACTTAACATATTGAAATCTTGAAGACTCTAGTACCCTGAAGCCCTACATCCTACGTTTTTTCCAACCCCAACCATCTCCATCCCGGACTGTATGAGGCCCGGATAAGTGCCCCATGGGGACCCTTGAAGCGACCCAGACCTTCCAAAATTCCTTAATTAAGGAATATACCGATTTGGAACGTCGGGGATTTAGGTTTACCCTAAGGGTCCCAAGTAACCAAATAGCGGCAGTGGGGTTGCAAGGTCCAAAAACCATCCAGAGTATGGATTTTGGGACCTGAAACCTGAACTATTTGGCTACTCGGACCCTCTAGGTGAGGGTTTTGCGGCATGACATGGGCTTCCTGGCTTTCTGATCACACTCAAAACGCATCTCCGAGACCTCTCGAAGCAAAGCTTCGGGATAATGAAGCCTGAAACTGAAACCATAGCTCCAGAGCTCTACAACATCATTATGTAAGATAAAAAATATAGTGCAGCCCAACTAGCTTAGGGCTTAGGGTTTAGGAACATAAAATACTACTCTAGTATATTATAGTAAAATACAATAGAATATGATGTAGGGCGCTTGAAGGCCTGGGCACCGAACATATCGAAGCTAGCTTCACTTCAGCTAGGCCCGAGGCTCGTACCGGAGATCCCCCAACATAGTACTACGTACCGGCTTAGCCCTAAACCCTGATAAACTTGTCCCTAAACCTTATACCGGAGATCCCCCAACATAGTACCATGTACCGGCTTAGCCCTAAACCCGAATAAACTTGGCCCTAAACCCTAAACGGTTCAAGGGCTTAGGGGGGCTAGGGGCCTTTGCGCTTGGCAGTCATGCCTCAGTACAATTAGGAGTTGATTAGGATCTGCTGGAGTTTCGCTGAGAACTTCTTATCAAAAGAACCTTACACCATAGTATATATCATGATCTAAAAAGAACATTCTGTACTACTACACTAATATTGTACTGTACCATACCATACCCACAACTTATTTCTGATGCCCGAAAAGACAAACGAACCCACACTCAAACATCGGAACTTCGGAAGCAAAGAAACCTTAGATGGATATTAAGTCGAATCGCTCGTCGGGATACTTCCAACGAACCCCACCACGAGGCAAAATTGGCTGTGCGCGGGGCCACCCTAAACCCCAAACCTCTAACTTCATCCGTCCCTAAACCTGAAACCTGAGCCTCTAAATCCCGAAGTGCTAAACCCTAAACGCTCAAACTGTAAACCTGGCTTGAGCTCAGGGCGTAGGCTAGGAGATTACATAGATAGAACAGGATTTTAGGGTTTAGGGTTTGGGGTGAGTAACAGTAGGTGTTACAGGGTACCACTGGGGTTACTAAAGCTTTAAGGGTTTTTAGGCCTTGCGAATTCGAACAGGGTTTTGGGGGGTGTCAACCAATACGTAAGCATATCGGGATCATAAGCGGGTCGTATTGCTCATGATGGTGCAGCTGCTGTTCCAACCAGTACTTGCAATCTCACGAAGGCTTCAGTCGGAAACTTTTCTTGCGACATCTGTTCAGTCAACTTCTTCTTGTATGGCACCAAGTCGGGCAGGTCTCACAAATTCTGATACTCGTTGCACCAGCGTTGATGCTTCAATTGCTGCTTGTTGCACTTCCACTTGCCAGCGACTCTGGTGATGGCTTCGGCCTGGACAGCAACACGGCCAACAGTCCGATGGGCACTGCCTCACGTATTCCAGGGCCAAATGCTGAAGCCCGCTGCCTTCGATGTCCATTTTGAGGACAGTGTGGCGATCCGTCAAGCTTTGCCAGCTGCTGCCTAGCCGCGGCTGCCACGCACTAAATCCATGTTTGTTTTCTCTACCTGTATCTAAACACACCCTAAACCCTAAACCCTGCGCCTCCCCCAGTGTGTCCGGAATGGGCGGGATGGCGTCGGTCATGGAGATATGTCTTAGCGCGTACATCACCTTGGATGCTCGGAGCGCTTCAATCTTCTGCGCTCTCTTTTTGGTTTTGGGTTTAGGGTTTAGGGTTTAGGGTTTTTCTTTTCCCTGGGGCTCCAAATAGCCCAATGTAGGTACTATTTACAGACTTTAGAACCCAAAGTAGGTACTATTTGATCACTTGGAGCCTTAGGGTTTTGGAAGACAAAACCTAAGAAGAACCCAGTCTAGAGCCTTAAAATTATCACTTATAACCAAAACCCCGCGAGCTTCCAATATATCCATGTTTTAACCACACCCTAAACCCTCAACCCTAAAGGAACCAACCAGCGGTACGTTCTGTACTGAAGGGATATAGTCATAATACAAATCCTACAATGAATCAGGGTACATCCCTCAAGGGATCTGGGAAAGAGCCGCGCGTTGACATTTTCGTTGATGTGGGGTAACCCTAAACCCTCTCTGCATTGTTCAGGCTTGAAGAGATCCTTCTCTTCAAGATTTTGTTCTGTCTAACCTTGAGACATTCAGCCTGGTCCGGAGCATAGGGGCATGAACAAGTCCTGCGGGTTTAGGGATTAGGGTTTGGGGTTTAGGGCTTAGGGGTCCCTAAACCCTAAGCCTGTTTGGGTTTCGGGATTCTTCCTTGAGGCTCCTTACTATGCTTTAAAGATGCTGCTTCGTCAGCACTTGCCATTGCAGCACCAAACAGCCCAATGGCCCTTTACGCCATGAATACATCTAAGCACAATATTCAGCCTTCTTTCATCCAGCCGATATATTCTAAACTGAGTGAGGAGTATTTCGCTGCGACATTTGCTCTTTCGGCAGGAAGCTCGAACGACAGGCTTAAGTTTGACCAAAAGGAGCACAGACCACACGTCAGTTGCTGATGTTATCATTGTATGCCTTTTGGGCAAGCTCCATCTGCACTAGTTGGAGCCAGAATCGAGAAACGCAGCCCAAGACCCAATCAAGCCCAAACGCCCCTAAACCCCCATGCTCACACCTACGTAGGCACCTGTAACCTGATCCTTCCCAAAACGGAAGAACGAATGAGGCGTTCACGTGTCCGGGCTCTTGAGTTTGAGAGGGCTCATCTATTCTAACTGGGTCGTGGGGCATGACAGACTCTTTTGTAACAACGAACCCTCAGGAAAAATATCATTACTTATTCAGGCCTCCGTAGTATGCCGGTGCCCTGGCAACGAGACTGCTACCAATTTAGGTGTGTCCTTGGGTCCATGATTCTTTAAAGCTCTGTTTCTGGTTTCAGGATATCTGGCTCCTTCCCTTTAATTAAGGAGGGTTCTAAACACCACGGCGACCTGGTCTATGGCTTTTCGTTGGACAGGTATGCTCAAACACTGCAAAAATCTCATTGAGCCCCAAATGCCTAAATCAAAACCTGAAGCAAAAGCTAAGCCTTAAGGCCTAAACTCAAAACCTGAAACGAAAGCTAAACCTTAAATACTGAACATCGGAAATCCTCAATAGGCCCACAACCCTGCACCCTCGAGCCTCGACCCCGTCCAAAACCACAAGACCCCAAATCCAACGACAAGGTTCAGTTCTAACATCTGTGCACATATGCACGCACACACACACACACACCCACCGACAGACACCTCATGGCATGCTTCCGCAAGTGCAGTCAAGTGTCGTTATCGAAAGCATCATTTCCCCATGGCTTTTCCTCGCAGCTTCCCCACGGCTGGAACCCAAGGGTACCATGGAAATCCACAGCCCCTAAACCCTAAACCCTTAAACCCTGAACCCCAAACCCTGAACCCTAAACCCTGAACCCTAAACCCAGAACCCTAAACCCTCAAAATCCTCAAAACCCTAAACTCTGAACCCCAACCCTATTCTGTTTTGGTTTCGGACTTCGGGTTGTGCACATGTTGCTAACGGGGTTAGCGGCATCTCCTCAGCTTAATGTAGAAGCCTAAATGATTAGAAAAGGGTTTGGGGGTATACTATACTATAATCGTAGTAAGGAGCCCCCCAGAAAAAAAAACCCTATTTTACTTACTACGGCCCCTATATTAGTGCTTTTGGGGGGGACAGGGTTTATCTGAGCTCGAAACCATGGACCCCTAGTATGGGCCTTTAACCCTGGGATCATTGTACACCTACTACATAAGTACCCTTAAAGGGTCCCTAGAAAGGCCTAGGGGTCCATGTTAGGGGCCCATACGTCCCCCAAACCAGAAAATCCTAAACCCTAAACCCCAAAGCCCTAAAGCCAAAACCCGAAAACCCTAAAAACCCTAAGCCAAAGCCTTTGACCCTGGACCCGACCCAAGGTGTCTAAACCTTTCAGACAGAACAGTTGCAAAGACCTTTCTTGGAGGAACTTTGGGTTTAGGGTTCCGGGAAGATTTTAGAACCCGGTACATGTAGACCCCTGATGACTAGACTCTCTTTCTTGAATGGCCTGCATATTAAGACCAAGGTCGATTTAAAGGTGGGGGGCGGCTATCAACCGAGGTCGACAACAACCATAACGTCACCAGTGTAAACCCAACACCCAAACCCTAAACACTGAACTGTGCAAAAGGCTCTCTAATCTGTTAGAACGTTTGGAACATTTACAAACTCCCATGATCATTAAACCCCCAACCATCCAATGCTCGGAACAAAACTGACTTGAAACCCAACAGCCCAAAATCCCTAACTCAAAACTTTAAACATCTAAACCACCCGAAACATAAACCCAACGAACACAACCCTAAACCCTACACCTCAAACCCAAAACCCTAAACCCAAACCTGTTTTGTTGTGGAGTTTACTTGAAATGACCACAAACGGGGCTCTATAGTATGGTAACTTGAGGTGTGTTAGCAAGAACCCAGAAACAACCCAATGACCCAAAATCTGAGCCCAAAGCCGCCAAACCCTACACCATGCATTAAACCCCACGAGCCCCAAAACTTAAACCTCAAACCTTAAACTCTCAACTGTACCCTAAACCCCCTAAACCCTGCACCCTAAACCCTAAACCCTGAACCCTAATTAATCCCTAAACCCCAAAACCCTGAACCCGAACCAAAACCCTGAACCCTAAACTCTAAACCCCTAAACTCTAAACCCTAAACCCTAAACCCTAAGCCCTAAACCCTAAACCCTAAAACCTAAACCCTAAACTCTAAACCCTAAAACCCCAAAGCCCCAACGACCGAGTCAAAGTGCTGCTGTCGCCATCTCCAGCACTGCGCAGCCCATGCTCCAAATGTCCGCCTGCTCCGAAGGGCTTCCGGGTTTTTGGGCTTTAGGGCTTTAGGGCTTTAGGTTTTAGGTTTTAGGGTTTTTATGGTTTAGGGTTTAGGGCTTTAGGGTTTTAGGGCTTTAGGGGTTTAGGGTTTAGGTTTTAGGGTTTAGGGTTTTATGGTTTAGGTTTTAGGTTTTAGGGTTTTTATGGTTTAGGGTTTAGGGCTTTAGGGTTTTAGGGCTTTAGCGTTTAGGGCTTGAGGGTTTAAGGTTTGAGGGTTTTAGGGTTCAGGGTTTTAGGGTTTAGGGGTTTTAAGGCTTAGGGTTTAGGGTTTAGGGTTTGAGGGTTTGAGGGTTTAGGGGTTTAGGGGTTTAGGGGTTAGGGTTTTCCGGGTTTAGGGTTTGGGGGAATCCCCCTGAATTAGGGATTACACCCTAAACTATAGCGGGCCAATCTGATTTAAGGGATAGGTCTGGGTACGACAGAGTGAGGTCCCCAATATAGTACGGCACTCTTATAAAAAGAACCCCTAAAAGGGACCCTCATTTAGAGAACTACCCATATGGGTGGTTCTCAAAATTATGGTCCCTTTTTGGGTCCTAATTATAATACGGCACCCATTGTTTAGGGTACCCCCAAAGGGACCCTAATTTAGAGAACTACCCATATGTTCGAGGTCTGGTCTCCGAATGAGGTTAGAAGCGGGTACTTAGACCCTCTTGCAGCCATTGAATCAGACTTCTACACTACTCCCGTATCGAGGTATGTATGAAACTGCATAGAGGCTTTAGGGTTTAGGGTTTAGGGTTTCTACATTCTGTATACCCCTAAACCCTATAAACCCTTCTGTTCTATACCCTTCCCGCCATGGCCTTCCTCCCGTGGCCCTGCTGCTGAGATATGACCTCGGCACGTCGCCCGATGAAGTTTTGTTGATTAGATGGTCAATTTTGGCCTAGGGTTTCGACTCTTGGGGTGTAAGCGGTTTGGGGTTTAGGGTCAAGGTTTAAGGGTTTAGGGGGGTGGTGTCGCGACTATGACTTGCCGAAAAAATAAGACAATGCTAGCTCTCAACAACTAAAACCCCTACCGTTTGGGCACCTGGTGTTGGGATTTGAACAAGGCTTCGGGGGTTCAGGGGCTACGCTTTAGGGGCTACTTTAGAAGGCAGCTTGGGGTACAGGCTGAAGGCTTAACATTTTCGAGTTTGGGGTTAAGCAGGAACCCAAGATTCAGGAAAACAGGGCAAGGAGGGTATGGGGTGGCAGTGAGATGGGACGGGATCCAAGCACCAGATACCTGAGTTCACGTACCCTAAACCCTAAACCCTACTACTAACCCTGAACCCTAAACCCTAAACCCTGCTACTAACCCTGAACCCCAGACCCTAAACCCGAAACCCCACTACCACCCTAAACCCTAAACCCTAAACCCTAAACCCTAAACCCTACTAAGAAAGGCTGTAAGGCGGCCTTGAAGTCGCTCCTAACCCCCGGCTCCCCTGCGTTGCCTCGGGAGCCATCCATGGAATCGAACCGATGGTCGTGAAGGACTTGGTCAAGTCCTTCCAGGATGCATCGATCCTAAATCCTAAACCCTGAACCATACACCCCAAACCCTAAACCCTAAACCCTAAACCCTAAACCGCTAAACCGCTAAACCCCTAAACCCTGGGGCGGGGCTCTGGGGCAGTCGTCGAGGCAGGGTGGCTGGTGGAAGACTTGGGGGCTCCGAGGGCTCTTGGGTTCGTTGTTCAGGGCTTTTTAACGGTTTAGGGGTTTAGGGTTTAGGGTTTAGGGGTTTAGGGTTTAGGGTTTAGGGTTTAGGGTTTAGGGTTTAGGGTTTAGGGTTCAGGGTTTAGGGCTTAGGGTTTAGAGTGTTGGGGGGTTTAGGGTTTAGGGAGTCGGGGGGGTTAGGGTTTAGGGTGGTTTATGGTTTAGGGTGTAGGGAGTTTAGGATAAGGATTTAAGGGCTTTAGGGCTTCAGGTTTGTCCAAAGCCCATGAAGCCGAGAAATCTACAGAGGCCTCAGCACGTAGAAGAGGGTATTGGGTAGTTCCATGGGCACTGTCCGCGGGGGGGGGGGGGGGGGG